AAAAAAAAAAAAAAAAAAGAATACTAGGGTAAGTACTTTAATTCTTGTTTTTCATGTTTATTCTTTATTTATTATTATTAATATTACTAAAATTTAGGTTAGTTAAGGTTAGATTAGGTAAAATAAATAATTATAATAAGATGTTTCACAAGTCACAAGAGCATGAGCTCTACATTCCCCAAGTGATTTACAACTTATAATGGAGCTAATAGTAGTTAGACGTGGTTCAAAGGGCAATGAAACAATAAAATTTAAATATAAATAGATGTATACTGTTACGAGTTTAAAGCTACTTAGAATAAATGAATGTAGTTTATGTTATAATTTGAAGTCATTCTAGAAAGAAAAAAAAAGGTGATTTAAGTTTATTTAGTTTTTTTGGGGGTTACGAGGTTCGTCAAACTGACCAACTGCAAATAGAGTTAGGGTAGAGAAACTAACAGATAAAATATATACTTTACTGAAAACAAATGTTTGAAATGTATTTTGGATATTTTAGAGAGTACACAAATGAAATTTGAAATTCTTGAGGTGAAGAAAAGTATTTTTAATCTTATCTTGAAAATCACTGTACTCAAATTGGTAAAAAAATAAAAGACTATATTCACAGACAGATCTTTTATTTAGTTAATTAACAACACTTCATTTAAAAAATACAACTTTCTGTATGTGAATAACTTATAATGTTTACTGAAAGACTGCTGTATTTTGTGCTGTGGTAGTTACATCTATTTCAATCTAAAAACGGTGTGCCAATTTCAAATTAACTGTTGGTGCAGTATAGTGTAAAATGAGCTCTTTCTAATGACAACATACACTTGTGTCCACTAACTACATGTACATTGTAGATCTCAAGGCAAATGTAGAAGGTGAGTGTGGTTCCTGTCAAGGGTTAGAAAACTTATTTCTTTTTCCTAGTGAATACAGTTGTAAGACTTTGTATGATAAGGGCTGGCTTTAAGATTTTTTGAAAAAATATTTAATTTAGTCTAGAGGATAAACCAATAGGTCCCATGTTGTCCCAAAACAATATGTTATATTATCTTATATGTCAAAATACTGCATAGACCTACATTGTTGTCTAGATATTCATATACATGGCAAGCTTTTGCTAAAGAGGAGATTTCTTATAGCATATGGATCACTTGACACAAAAACTGCAGCAGGTAAGTAAGTATTTTTTTAAATGTTTCCTTTGGAAAAATGAATAAGAACTTAGATAACATAAAAATTCCAATTATAACATACATTATAATCTTAATTTCATTGACATAAGTGGTTTAATTAAATCTGGAATGTAATTCAGTACCATAGGCAGAAAATAATTTAAAAATGGCATTGGGTGTCATAAAGTTCAAACATGAAACTACAATTTGTTTTTCTTAAATAGCTTAAAACTCATAACAGTTTATATATATATTTATACCTAATTTTATTGTTTTATTGATCTCTCACCCATGTCTAATTAATAATCCTGCACCTGTTGTAATTCACTCATTGAATGTGTAGTTTATGTTACTGTATTCAATGCATAACCTACGAACTGAACTGTTTACGAGCATATCTCATGAAGAATTTATATTTCTCATTACCTGAGTTAATTTAACATAACAAGTGTGTAATTGTTATATTTGACTTACTTTAATAATGATGAATATAGAATAAACATCAAAAAACAAGAAATATATCACTTACCTTGATTTAAGTTGCTGAATAAATTTAAGCCTACTTTTTATACTTATGGTACAAGTACACTAAATCTTTATTTACTTAAATAATGCATCTAAGAACACAACAATAATAGACGAAAAGCAAACATTGTTTTGTAACTATCATAATTATCTGGCTTTCTAACTGTGGCATAAGAACCTTTAAAACGTGTCTCCATAAACACCTCAAGAAAAATAGACAATACTCTGTACTAAAAACAATGTAATATAATACATCATTTGATATATTAAAACATTAGCTTTCTATTGGTTATAAACAATGTAATATAATACATCATTTGATAGTTTAAAACGTTAGCTTTCTATTGGTTATAAACAATGTAATATAATACATCATTTGATAGTTTAAAACGTTAGCTTTC